GTTGTATCATTAAGTACAAATACAAATTTTTGTAGTTAATCCTTTTAAAAACGACAAGTTTTTTTTTTTTCCATCTTTAGACTTATTCGTCTAATGGAAGAGATCATGAGTGAGAAGGAGAATAAAACCATTGTTTTTGTTGAAACCAAAAGAAGATGTGATGAACTTACCAGAAAAATGAGGAGAGATGGGTATGTGGTTTTCTGCATCAAAGCAGTCTTTAGGAAAGGACAGAAGTACTTTAATCAGAAGCAGCAACTTGTGTGGGAATTGTTTGCTATAATAATATAACTATATGGATTATTTTCAGGGACAGTGGTAACAGATCAGGGATATACTACTCCATGGGAGAGCGCTTGACGAAGATGAAGTGCTGGGGGGGGGGTAAATATTGGTAGATGATTGACTAGAGTTTTAAATGTGAGTGCATTGATGTTTTTTAATGTAGGTGGCCTGCCATGGGCATCCATGGTGACAAGAGTCAACAGGAACGTGACTGGGTTCTAAATGGTATGTATTTCAAATATAAGATGTAATTTGTTTGTAACTTGATAGCATTATCAGCTTGGATTAATGATCATTTATATATGTCTTTGTAGAATTCAAACACGGAAAAGCTCCTATTCTGATTGCTACCGATGTGGCCTCCAGAGGGCTAGGTTAGTACAAACTCGAATTCATGGCTTGGTTTCCCAGAAGATCTCCATGTAGTTTTTTTTAAAGAAAGTTTATTGCTTTCTTTAACCTCTGCATTTTTTCTAAGTTTTTTTCACATAAAGGTGCAGTCTTTGTGGCAAGGCCTAGGCATGACAATCGGAGGACTCGAGGGGGATGGAGGACTAGTGATCGGCTGGCTGCTTCCAGTCGATTAGAGAGGTGAAAAGCTGAAAGTGTGCCAGTAATCTTCAAAGGGCAGAACATACCGTCTCTGCCCCATAAACTGTTCTCTCCGGGGGAAAAAAATGGAAGTTACCTCACAGTTCACTGCCGTGGTATTTCATCTGTCCCATGCTTTGCATGATTGCCATGGTACAGCATTGTTTCAAACTGTTCACTGTGATCTGTGGGTCTTTGAGTTTCAGTGAGTTTGCTGAAATGTCGAAGAAATATTTCCAAACTTCAATGTTCAATGAAATTTTTGTTCAAGTTTGAAATGGAGAGAGCAGCTTTAAAAGGTACTAAGCCTTTTACAAATTGGTGAGTACTGGCACATGAGACCTAGAGCAGGATCAACTTCTCACACATAGTCAGTGGGAAAAGAAAGTGCCTTGAAAGTTCCTCCCTCACCTACACAGTAGTCGTCATGTCGAGACCTGCCAGAGAGAGACACATTCTCAAGTGAATCCTGGCTTCTTGGAAGTGCTTGCCTAGACGAGACACAGTGCAATAAAACAACTTTTGGGGGACAGGTATGTTTTTCTTGCAGCTGCAGTTGTAAGGTCTTGGCAAGACAAGCAGTGTGGCCAGAATTTTGAACTTCTGATGAGTGTAATGCAAAGGACCTTTACATTTTTGCTTAAAGGTCCTCAAAAATGAGCACATGAAGAGAGGTTGCTGTGAAACTTTTAAGTGGCCCTACTGCGCAGAAGCATTCAGATGTCACTTGATGATCTGTAAGGGGACTTTGTCAATTTGGGAATGTGCTAAGGAGAATACACATTCCCTTGATAGGCTGTCAGTGGGTGGGTGATAACTTAAGACATGTGCTTTTTTGTTTTTTCCTGCCCCACCCTTTTTTTCTGCCTCAATGGTATTCCTACAGGAAATGGATAACCATTTTAACTGTATTTTTTGCAGCCCGTACCTTCTTGGGAATACAATTGTCTAACTTTTTATTTTTGGTCTGGCTGTTGTGGTGTGCAAAACTCCGTACATTGCTATTTTGCCACACTGCAACACCTTACAGATGTGGAAGATGTGAAATTTGTCATCAATTATGACTACCCTAACTCCTCAGAGGATTATATTCATCGAATTGGAAGAACTGCTCGCAGTACCAAAACAGGCACAGCATACACTTTCTTTACACCTAATAACATAAAGCAAGTGAGCGACCTTATCTCTGTGCTTCGGGAAGCTAATCAAGCAATTAATCCCAAGCTGCTTCAGTTGGTCGAAGACAGAGGTTCAGGTAAGAGCCTTCCAGAAGAGATGTTACAGGTAGTTGGGAATTACCTCATTGTCTACAAAGTCCATTTTAAATGGGATTGGAGAAGTAAGTAGTTTTATTTTGAAACCTAAGAAATCTTAAAGACACTTAAAACCCAGCATAAATAGAGCTGCCTAAACTCCCGTGTTAGCACATTTATGCCATAGATAAAATTGATCAATTTCCACTTACTTTCTTGACAGGTCGTTCCAGGGGTAGAGGAGGCATGAAGGATGATCGTCGTGACAGATACTCTGCGGGCAAAAGGGGTGGATTTAATACATTTAGAGACAGGGAAAACTATGACAGAGGCTACTCTAGTCTGCTTAAGAGAGATTTTGGGGCTAAAACTCAGAATGGTGTTTACAGTGCCGCAAATTACACCAATGGGAGCTTTGGAAGTAATTTTGTATCTGCTGGTATACAGACCAGTTTTAGGACTGGTAATCCAACAGGGACTTACCAGAACGGTTATGATAGCACTCAGCAATATGGAAGTAATGTTGCAAATATGCACAATGGTATGAACCAACAGGCATATGCATATCCTGCTACTGCAGCTGCTGCGCCTATGATTGGCTATCCAATGCCAACAGGGTATTCTCAATAAGACTTTAGAAGTATATGTAAATGTCTGTTTTTCATAATTGCTCTTTATATTGTGTGTTATCAGACAAGATAGTTATTTAAGAAACATGGGAAATGCAGAAATGACTGCAGTGCAGCAGTAATTATGGTGCACTTTTTTCGCTATTTAAGTTGGATATTTCTCTACATTCCTGAAACAATTTTTAGGTTTTTTTTGTACTAGAAAATGCAGGCAGTGTTTTCACAAAAGTAACTGTACAGTGATTTCAAATACAATAAATGAAGGCAATGCATGGCCTTCCAATAAAAGATATTTGAAGACTGAATAAGTGGAAATTGTACTTTATTTTACATATATAATGTCATGTAAAACCTGGCTTAGATAGTATGTTTTTGGGGGGATTTTTGTTTTTGGTGTTTGTTTTTACACAGCTAAAGTTGACTACTTCCCATTCCTTGATTTAGGACTGGAAGGAGAGGAACTCAGAAGGCCCTTAGGGTGATCAGTTCATACGGGAAGAATTTAGAGACTGAATTTTATAATTCTAGAAGAGTTGCAGAAAAGTTTTGTCAGTGGCTTTCAGCATCAAGGTAGTAAGTCATTTAGTAGCCTATCTTCCTTAAGATTGAGAACTATAGGATAGGAACTGTATACATAAATAAATGATAATATGGTTGCCGGCTGCTTTTGCAAAACAGTTTGACATACTTTCGTTTTTCATTTTAGTCCAGCTCTTGGCTATATTGTCAACTGCCGAAATGCACAAAGCTGGGAAGACTGTTAGCCCAGAAGCTGTGTGCAGGTCATCTTTGTAGGTTTTCTTCCTCCCTGACTTGCCAGAGTGTTTTATAGCCACACCATGAGTCCAGAATGTCTCCATCTTATTTCAGGGGGATTTTAGAAGTCAAGCTAGTCTGTACTCCAACACAAGGCAGAAAACCTCAAAATTAACACGTTAGGCAACATAACCAAAACCAGTAACTTGAGGGTTAGGTTCAGCATGGGCTTACTGCTAGAAAGATCAAGGGGATAGCTTTAGATTTAGTGTGTTTACCAACAGCTTTATTTCAGAATGGCCTGAGGTCTAAATGTCTTCCCAGAAAATGGTGTCTTGCCCAGGACAAAAGTCTTAAAGGAATTTTTAACGTTGGTTTTTAAAACAGGTTTTGATGTTAATGCCTTATTTATAAATGTAAAACAAACTAGAATGTGCTGGGGGTGGGAGCTGGGATTAACAGGGAGTGTTTTCCGGGGTGGATACATTGAAAACTGGTTCATCCTCTGGTGCCCTGAGTGGTTTTCAGTGGCATGGCTAGTCAAATTCATGAATTTTAATTATAGGGGTAGATTGGAGCATTTATTATTTTACTGTTCAATGTCTTAATGTGGGCCTTTTATTTTGTAAATAATTATGGAAATGATTGTGGGGCTTGGAAAATTTTACCTTTGAAGTTTTAAAAGACAGTCCACTTTTTAGCATGTGTGTTGTGTCCAGCCTGTGGTTGTCTTAACTAATAAATGTGATTTTTCTCCCCATTCTCTCCTTTTATTTATTCGCGTAGAGGCCTTTTACCTGGGGTTTTGCACCCCTCATCTCCCCAAGTCTGGCAGTCTGGAACTTGGTACATAAACCAGGCTGGCCTTCCAGTCTGAGATTGTCCCTCTTGAGTGCTGAGACCGAGTGAACTCCCACACCGGTCTTGGCACCTCGTAATCACATTCCCCAGCCCTATTAACTTCAACGTATATGGTCCCCCTAGCGTGTTTCACGAACTGCTGAACTTAACAAAAAGCTGTCCCCTTCCTCCTAGTCAAGTGTGGCCGCCTTTCTGCTAGGTTTACTGATCTCAGAGACCCATAGCCACTTCAAGGGAAGTTAATTTCTGTTTCATGAAGGTGGTTAGGTCAGGGAAGTGCATTTTAAGACCTGCTTCCTCAGGCCACAACCCTCCTTCTCCAGCCACACCCTGGAGGAAGCTGAAGTGGCAGCATTAGGGACGGTCTGCTTTAAAGACCGCCATGCTGAGACGAAAGTAACGCATTCCCCTGGGGACTGGACGCCAGGCCTTCGTGACAGGATGGCGGCGCGCGTGAGGCGGCCGGAGCTGCCACAGTAAACAAGCGCGGACGCTGGCGTCAGGGGCGGAGGGCGGGCAGGCCCCAGGCGGCGGCGGCTCGGCGCTGACGCACTTCCCGGGGGTGCGGCCTGCACCGCGGGCCTTTCCGCCGCGCCTGCGCCCTAAGCGCCGGTGCTGTTAATGGCCCCCACGTGAGACTGCTGGCCCGGGTTCCCGCGGCGATGCGCGCAGGTGGCGCGGCCCGGGCGTGCCGCGGCGCCTGCAGGCGCTGGCTGTCGGGGTGCGCGGGGCCCGCAGACGGGCCGGGGCAGCCGGCGGCCTCCGCGCGGGCCGTGGACTGCCAGGCGCTGCTGGACCTCTGCCGAAGGAGGCATTTTCTCAGCGGGGCGCCCCAGCAGCTCAGCGCCGCCGCTCTCCTGGGCGGGGGCCGCCCGCGCTGTGGACCTTTGGGTGTAGAGTTGCGGAAGAACCTAGCCTCTCAGTGGTGGGACTCCATGGTGGTGTTCAGGGAGCAGGTCTTCGCGGTGGACGCCCTCCACCACGAGGCGGGCCCCTCGCAGCCGGGGGACAGTGCCTTCAGGTTAGTTTCTCCAGAGTGTATACGCGAACTCTTGCAAGACAAAGAACTGAGTAAGGAACAGCTAGTGGCATTTCTTGAGAAGTTATTAAAAACTTCTGGGAAACTACGGGAGACCCTTCTTCACGGTACGGCTCTTCGCGTTTTGTGCTTCTGAACAGGTTTGGGGTGGAAAGGTAATCTTGCACAGGTTTGGAGACAGCCGCTGGCCCTAGGTTTCCAGGCAAAGAAGTGACCAGGTCACCCCCCACACACACTTTCCTAATGTAAATAACATTTAGAGTGACCCACCTTCAGGCACGTGTCCGTGGCATCATGCCTGAGGCAATGGATAAAGCGTTCCGTTTAATTCAGTCACATGCTTGAGCGTTCATTGATACCAAGACGTTTTCAAAGACTTCGTCTACTCCAGTTTTACATACAGTCGTCCACTCTGGTCATTTTTTTTCTTGCTAGGTGATTTTTTAGCTTTTCAGCTAGAAGATGAAGTATACGCCTTTGTCTTTAAAGTCAAATATAACAACGATACAGAAATTATAAAAATAAAAAAAAATGAACAACAAAAACACTGACTTGTTTTTCAAGACAGTGTAGCCCTGGCTGTCTGGAATTCACTTTGTAGACCAGGTTGTCCTTGCACTCACATCCACCTGCCTCCAGCTCCCCGGTGCTGGGATTCAGGCCCAGCTACCCGTTGACATTCTTCACAAGACTTGCTCAACTGTGGGAAATGCTGCCTTTGTTATTTGGTAGTATGGAGTAGCTTACAACACCGTACATGTCCAAAGTTGTGAAAATTAGTATATAGTGTAGCCTTTAAATATTTCCTTAATGAAATAAAGCAGACAAACCAGTGATAAATGTGATTAGTTTGTAGTATTTTATTTCATATTCTTGGCATTGATTGCATTAAGTAGTCTCATTTACTGTGCCCCCAAACATCAATCTTTTTTATCTCCCAATCTCTTAGATGAAATACCTGCCTTCAAAGTTGCTGAGTGTGGAATTGGACGTGGCTTTAACCCCAGCACTCAGAGAGGCAGGTGGATCTCTGAATTTGACGCCAGCCTGGTCTACAAAGAGCAGCCAGGGCTACACAGAGAAACCCTGTCTCAAGAAACAAAACCAATAACAAAACCCTCAAAGTTGCAGAGTGTGAAAATGAGAGTTTAAGTGTGACCCTGTCTCAAGCAGAGCAGAAAAACAAAATAGATAGGAAGGAGTTCTTTTTACTTTTCTGTGTTTGTTTTTGCTTTTCTAGGCGGTTTCTCTGTATAACCCTGGCTGGCCTCAAACTCACAGTGATCTGCCTGCCTCTCCTCCAGAGTGCTTAGACATTAACTGTTTAGACATTAGTGTTTAGACATTAACTGTCTCCTATTATCCTGTGGGTCCTGGGGATAGAACTCAGGTCTTCAGGTGTGGCTGCAGCAGCTGCTACCAACTGAGCCACCTCTCCAGTCTTAAAGAAACATTCTTGATTGAGAGACTGAAGATGCCTAATCAAAACAAAAGTCCATAAACCTTACTTATGAGCCAGAAAAAGAAAAGTGAAAACTGAGGTTTTTTAGGTAAGGATTAAAACATAAAATATAGCAGAAGTACATTAGCTGCTATTCCATCTTAGTTATTTAAGTTTATACTTTAATAGCGGTTGCGGAGAATATTTTTAGGAATTAACTGTTAACGGTGTAGTGAATGAGAAAAAAAAAAAAAAAAAAAACATGGCAAATGGTAATTGCCAAGTCTAGGTGAAGAACATAAAAATGCCATTTGGCTGTTTGGGGTGGGATTTTCTTATTTGAGACAGGGTCTCATGCCTCAGAAACTGACCCCAGACCCACTGTGTATCTGAGGATGATCCTCCTGTCTGCCTCCCAAGTGCTGGGATTACAGATCTATAGCACCACACCTGGCTTTTTTTTTTTCTTATTAAAGATGACAGACCATTCATTGCTTTGTTTCTGCTTTTTGTTTCAGACAGGTTGGCCTTGAAATCATTATGTAGCTCAGGCTGACCTCACCCCTAAGTACTAGGATGTCGTGTATGCATGTGTTCATGACACATCTAGCATGGAGTACTATTCTTTAAATCTTCAAACTGGGCCAGGCACAGTGGCTCACGTCTTTAATCCCAGTGAGAGGCAGAGGCAGGTGAATCTCTGTGAGTTTGAGGCCAGCCTGTTCTACAAAGCCAGTCCAGGACAGCCAAGGTTACACAGAGAAACCCTGTCTCGGAAAAAAAAAAAATGTTCACACTAGAAAGCTCAAGATTCATTGCTCCTCCTCTGGGCTCAGAGTTCACCGGCAGCCGGCCTGTGTGAAATAGATTCATGCAGTGACGATTTCTTTTTTGACAGGCGCCTTGGAGCACTACCCTAACTGCCTGGATCTGGTAAACAGGAGGCTCCCTTATGGTCTTGCTCAGATCGGAGTGTGTTTCCACCCAGTTCTGGACACTCAGCAGATACCTAACAGCGTTAAAAGGTACAAAATGTGACAGATGACCTGGTTTGGTACTTAAATAATCAAGAGCTAATCATTCCCACTTTGTGATACATCATATCATTTCCGTAAAAACTAACTCTTTGATTTCTTCTTAATACACACAGAATTGGTGAGAAGACTGAAGCTTCTTTGGTGTGGTTTACTCCTCCGAAGACTTCAAACCAGTGGCTTGATTTCTGGCTGCGTCATCGGCTTCTGTGGTGGAGAAAGGTAATACAGTAATAATTTCAATAGTTAACAACTGAACTCTTGTTTATCTTCATTTTAGTTTTTGAAGCAGGCTCTCATGTCACCCAGGCTGCTCTCAGGCTCCATATGTAGCCTAGGATGACCGTGACCTTCTTGCCCTTCTGACCTCTGGGATTGTAAAGATTACCCCAGGGCCAACCTGTTGGTTCCCTTGCCTGAGCCTCCTAAGTACTGGGCCGACAGGCATGTACCACCACACATGGCTTATAAACAGAACTCAATGTAGCTGTGGTATTTTTGTGTTTGTTTTAGTTTCTTAAAACAAAACAAAACACCTTATTATATAGCTGGAGAGGTGGCTCAGTGGTCTTCCAGGGGACCATAGTTTGGTTTCTAACATTCAGGTTGGGCAGCTTACAACTGCCTGTAACTCCAGCTCTAAAGGATCAGCCTCCATCTTCTAGTCTGTGAAGGCATCTATAAACACAGGTAGATGTGGGCTGGAGAGATGGCTCAGAGGTTAAGAGCACTGTCTGCTCTTCCAGAGGTCCTGAGTTCATACTCCCAGCAACTGCATGGTGGTTCACAACCATCTATAATATGATCTGATGGCCTCTTCTGGCCTGCAGGTGGAGCATTCACATGTGTAAAATAAATAAATATTTAAACAAGGTCGATGTAAATAAAAATACTTCCTTTTTTCTTTCTTTTCTTTTTTTTTTTTCAAGACAGGGTTTCTCTAGCCCTGGAACTCACTTTGTAGACCAGACTGTCCTCAAATTTACAAAGATCCACCTGCCTCTGCCTCCTCCCGAGTCTGGGAAAAATAACTCTGAAAAGAAAAAAAAAATGTGGGCTGGAGAGATGACTCCAAGGTTAAGAGCACTGGCTGTTCTTCCAAAGGTCATGGGTTCAATTCCCAGCACCCACATGGTGGCTCATAACCCTCTATCTTGAGATCTTGTGCCCTCTTCTGGTGCACAAGCACACACACACACGCAGGCAGACTACTGTATAAACAATAAATAAATGAATCTTAAAAAAAAAGGTTACTGCATTTATTTGGGGCGAGCCTGTCCTGGCAAGCATGTGGCAGTCAGAGGGCAACCTTAGGAAGTGACATCTCCTCCTACTCTGTGGGTTCTGGGGATCCAAGTTAGACATTCTGGCTTCGCAGCAACCCCTCCCACCCACCGAAGCACCTCAGTGGCCCTGGTTTTGGCTTCTTGAGACAGGGTGCCCCTCTTATGCAGGCTGGCCTGGATTCACTCGGGGCTCAGGCTGAGGGACAGCTCATGGCAGTCCTCCTCGTTGAGCTGGGATTACAGGTGTGAGCCTCCAGCCCACCTGCTTGGGCTTTTTTTTTTTTTTCCTCTCCCCTAGTGTATGGCAGTCCTGGATGCAGAATGGGGAGCCTTGAATGTGTTGGGCAAACTCCTGCCACCGAGCTCCACTCTCATGCTACTGTGCTGAATTTGTAAGGGAGGGACAGCTGCCATAGCAGATAGGGACGGAGCCCTCTTCACACGGTGCTTAGCACTCTAGCCGTTCTTGGGGCTCCCTTGGTACAGACGTGCTGAGCTCTGATGCCATGCCTGAGCCTATATTTGGGACTGACCGAACTACTTTCAACCTGTCGCTGGATTAACCTTAATTCAGGCAACCTTAATTCTCAGAGACAACTATCGAGTTAGAAGAAAATTAGTCCCTTAGCACTCAAACAGCGGAAGCCCAGTGGATCTTTGGTCAGCCGGGTCTACATAGAGAGACCCCTTCTCAGAAAATAATAATAATAATTAATTACTGTTTCAGTAAGTCAACAAGGCACTGTGTTTTGCAGTTTGCTATGAGCCCGTCTGACTTCAGCAGTGCCGACTGTCAGGACGAAGCGGGCCGAAAGGGAAACAAGCTGTACTACAGCTTTCCCTGGGGAAAGGAGCCAATCGAGACGCTGTGGAACCTAGGGGATCAAGAACTCCTACAGATGTATCCCGGAAATGTGTCCACCATACAGGTGTGTGTCACCCAGAACCCCCCGTGTTCTTTACCCAGACTCTCTGTTTTCCAGACCTGAAGGATAATTGTGCAGTCCTCTGAACCCTCATAACCTTGTGTACAGGTTTTAGACATTGTCCAGCAACACAGCCACGACCGTGGCCTTCAAAGTGACCCACTATAATTGTCCCTTCCGCAGAGCCCAGGGTAACTGAATATCCGAGTAATATGCCTTACAGGCTCAGAATCCAGCCCAGGGCACTGTGTCTCATGGAGCTGTCCTGCCTCTCTTCTCCAGATGAAAAGTTCCTTTTCTCTCTCCTAGTCTTATGTCCCTGACACTTTTGAAGAGGCTGGTTACTTTGTAGAATAAGCCTTTGTGCAGACCTTTCTGAAGTTTCCTGACTTGTGTCTTTGTGTCAAGAATATGACAGAGGGTTGTACCCTTCTCAGACATACTAGGGAACAGTGGGTATTAGTATATTATCTTATGTCACTTGATTAAGATGGTGTCACCTAGGTTTCTCCAGCGTAATTCGTTTATTTTTTTAAATTTATTTCATTGTGTGCGTGGGGGGTGTATGCCATCTGAGTACCACATGCATGCAGTCCCAAGGAGACCGTCAGATCCCCTGGAAGTGGAGTTACAGATAGAACCCACTGTGTGGGTGCTGAGACTAGAACCCTGGCCCTCTACAAGAACACATTCTCTTAACCCCTGAGCCACCTCTCCAGCCCCATGCAGTGTACAATCACTTCCGTCTTAGAGTGAAACCCAAGTCTTAATGAATGTAAATCTAGGAACTGGGCATTGTAATACAAGCCTTTAATCCCAAAACATCTGAGGTTAGGACGGGAGATTTCAAGGTGAGGCTGGCATTAAAAAGGAAGTGGGTTTTGTTTTTTTGTTTTTTGTTTGTTTGTTTGTTTGTTTTTTGGGGGGGGGATAGTTTAGCTGGTAAGAGCAAAGGATTTAAACAAATACTCCCTTTCCAGCAGGGTGGTGGTGGCACACGGCTGTAATCCCAGCTCTCAGGAGGCAGAGGCAGACAGATCTCTGTTAGTTTGAGGATAGCCAGCGCTACACAGCTGAGGCCGTCTCAAAAAAAAAACACACAGAAAAAGAAAGGAAAAGTCCTGCTAAGTGCTGCTTTATTTTGTTCTCTTCTCTGAAGGGTCGAGATGGACGGAAGAACGTGGTTCCCTGTGTTCTGTCTGTAAGCGGCGACCTAGACCTGGGCGTCCTGGCTTACCTCTGTGATTCCTTCCAGCTCACGGAGAATTCCTTTGCTAGGAAGAAGAGCCTTCAGAGAAAGGTGCTTTTGCTCTTTCACACTTGGAAAACTAAAATTATGTAGGCGTTTCTGGTTTTTATTCTATACTTTAACTGTGCTTTTCTCTTCCTCTTGTCCCTTGCTTTCCTCAGGTGCTTAAACTTCACCCTTGTTTAGCCCCTGTTAAGGTTGCTTTAGATGTGGGGAAAGGCCCAACGGTGGAGCTAAGACAGGTGAGTTAAATATTTGCTATGACTGTTAAAAATTCTACATTTTACTGTGTGTGTGGACATGTGTGGTATGGGGGTCAGCGAACAGTTTAGAAGTTGATTCTGTCTTGCACCGTGTGGATCCTGGAGATGGAATTCAGGTGGTCGGGCCTTACTGTAACTGCCTTTCCCCACTGAGCCGGTGTGCAGCCATTGTGCTGCCGGTTGTCCGGAAGCAGTTTGTGTGGCTGACTTCTGGAATGCCCTGCTGGGGTTTCTCAAGCTGTTCCTTCCTTCTCCCAGTGTAAAAGGAAAGCCCCAGGGGCACAGTTCTCGCTTGTCACAGGACTTTACAGTTAACAGGGCTTTTTGCAGCCATATGGTTATTTTCTGTTTGGTGTTTTGAATAAGGGTGATAATTGTTGGTTGGCATAAAACTGCCTCTTGGAAAATTTGCAATCAGTGTTCAGTTGGCATTGCTTAATTTATTTTTAGAGGAAGTATGCAGTTTCTAAAGTGTTCAGTGTATAAACTAAAGCATCACGTAACTAAACAGTTCACAAGTGGGTTATAGTTTCACAAGCACTTTTATATTTGAAATCTGTTTTTTTCTCTCCAGGTTTGTCAAGGGCTACTTAATGAATTACGAGAAAATGGCGTTTCTGTTTGGCCTGGGTATTTGGAGACAATGCATTCCTCGTTAGAGCAGCTCTTCTCAAAGTAAGAATTATCTTCTCTGTCGTTGATTATATGTGTATTATGCTAATAGAAACAAATCTCTTATAAACATAACCTTAAAAATGGGGCTAGAGAGATGGCGTCCTGGTTGAGTGCTCGCCATCACTCCGGAGAACACTAAGTTTGGTTCCCAGCACGCATGTTGGGCAGCTCACAGTCACAGCTGCAGCTCCCAAGGATTCAGCAACCTCTCCTGTCCTCCACAGGCACCGCACCCACGAGGCACACACACACACACACACACGCAAGTAAAACCTAAATCCTTAAAAATGCTAAGTGATAAGCACCACGTGGAGAGGTAACGGTAGTGGCTGCTCTTGCGGAGGTCCTGGGTTTAGTACTCGGCACTTATGTAGAAGCTCACACATCTGAAACCGCAATTCCGAGCCGCCTGGTTTCTGTGGGCACCAGGCACACAGGTGGTGGACATACATGCAGGCAAACCTAAAGTAGAAACAAATAAATCTTTATTAAAAATGTGCCTAGCTTTTCCTTTTATAGAACTCTGTGCCTTGAGCTAATTGCTGTAGCAAGGAACAGTGTTTGTCAAGTATTTCTAAGTATCGCCTCCGCTTATCAGTTTTTCAGGGGTGGACGGTAGGTCTTTAAAATTAGAACTGAAGGGACATGAATGGAATGGCTTTCCTGGCTGGCACAGGATTCCTTCCCAGACCTAAGTCTGGAGAACAGAGAGCCAGTCTTCTCAGTGATTGGCACCTTTGTTTACCCCAAGCTAGCTTCTAGTTAATCGTCTCTCACTGAAAACTCCAACATCTGACACTTCTGTGTACTAATATTTTTGTAAATGAAAATTTCCATACGACCTATGACAAGCTACAGTCAAAACACACATATACAAAGATGCTGTCTAAAATTACCTTTAAACTGTATGGATAAGAGGATGGAAAACACTAATAGATTTCATGTTCAGATTTGGGGCCCAGCCCCAAGAGAGCTAATTATATAGATTTAAATATTCAAGGTGTTTTGTTACTCTAAAATACTTCTGGTTCAAGCATTTTAGATAAGGGATACTCAATATGAGGCATCTTTATTGCTTTTCCTAAACCAGCCCACCACCACCAAATGGTGTGACCTGGACTCCTCAGTCTCAGCCACTGTCTTTCTGTCTGTCTGTGCACACAGCCTTCCCCATATCCTCAAGATATCTCAATACAGAGTCTCACACTGTAACCCAGGCTGACCCTAGTGTATCTCTCAGGCTTGCCTCAAACTCATGGAAATCCTATGTTGGCATACTTAAAAAAACAAACAAACAAAAACATATTTACATTTCTTTTATCTTTTTCTCTCCACTTCACCTCAATTCCTTCTAACACCCCAAAACCAGGTAGTAGAGAGAAAGGGTTAGTTCGAGAGGGGGCGCAGTTCCATTAGCTGCTTCCTGCTGGCTTGGATTGTCAGGTTCCTTGGAGACAGACATTCCAATCCTCATTTCAGATCTCCAACTTCTTGTCCCACAACAGCAACCAGGAGCAACAATGGGGAAGCAGGAGCAGCCTTGTTCTCTCTTAGAACCCACATTCTCTGGGCTCTGGCATTTATTCTCTCTTCAGAGTCCTCAGATTTAAACTATCTGCAGCTGGCAAAGAGCCCCTCTCAGAGCCTGCACGAAGCAAATAGTCTGCTGCTGTGGACCATCTGAATCAGTCCCACATCCCACACCTGGGACTGAAACAAAACCATGATTATATCCACAATACTCCTGCCTCAGCCTCTTGAGTGCTGGGATTGTAGGTGTGAGCCACTGTGCCTGGCTCCTAGGTAGAGCTCACCTTCACGCTGCTCTCTCTTCCCAGCTATTACTCAGGTTAAGGTCACTAATATTTTGTCAGAATTATTAAGAGTCTTATAGTGAATTCTCTCTAGTATTGCTACTTTGCCATTTTGTTAATTTCTGCTTTTTTAACAAAATGATTTATCCTTTTATGCATCAGAGGAGGTGAGGAGCCGATGGCTGTATGGGCACTCATGTGTTATGCTTAACTATTCTCTCAGGTATGATGAGATGAGTATCCTATTCACAGTCCTGATTACTGAAACGACTTTGGAAAATGGACTAATCCAGCTGAGAAGTAGAGACACCACAATGAAGGAGACGATGCACATATCCCAGCTGAAAGACTTTCTCGTCAAGTATCTGAGATCTGCTAAAAATGTGTAGGTCTCCGCACTTCTCTAATAAATGTTCTCTGTTTCATTGACTTACATTAATACGGTTTTGGTCTTTTGCATTTATAAGGTAGGTGTTTTGGATTCTTTCTTTGATTCACTTCTTATTATCCTTTCAATATGGTCTACTAAGAAAACACTGGGCACGGTGGTACACACCCTTAATCCCAGCACCCGGGAAGCAGAGGCAGGCAGATCTCTGTGAGTTCGAGGCCAGCCTTGTCTATAAAGAGAATTCAGGATAACCAGGGCTATATAAAGAAACCCTGTCTCAAAAAAAAAAAAAAAAAAAAGACAAAACACAAACCCTGATCTTCTAAGTAAGCAATGCCAGCCTGGGCTGCTGGGTCTGTATGTGTGTAAATAACACAAATGCAGGTTTGTGTGTATGTGTGTGTGAATACTCAAATGCAGGGGCACATACTGTGTGTGTTTGTGTGCATGCCCAGGAAATCCCCAGGGCCCTCCTGCTCAGCTCTCCTGGTGCTGAGATTAAAGCTTCCGCCACAGAGCCTGCCTTTTAGTGATCTAATTCAGGTGCTCCTGCTTGCCTGGCAAGCGCTAACCAGCTGTCCTACCTCCCTAGTCTAGCCTTGAACTTCTGATTTTCCTGCCTCTCCAGTGCAGGGAACATAAGCCTGGGCCCCACCGCACTTCATTCATCGGTGCTGTACACTGCTAAGCAAGGACTCTACCAGCTGAGCACACCCTGGCCCTCGGTCCTGTTCTCTAGTTTTTTCATCCTGCCCTCAGTGGTAGCAGAAAGATAACAGTAATGATGAAGACATGCAGACAGAAGAGAAAAATGGACTTTTGCACGCCTATCTGAGTACATCTGCTTTCATAAATACTATAAACCGGCAACTGCAGGTGTTTGGCCATTAAACGGTATGAACGGAGCTGAAAATAGGAAGTCCTAGCTACCATTGCTCATCAGGTCACATGCCAGGCAGGCGTCTCCAGGTGAGTTGATAAGGAGACAGATTTTTCTTTTTCCAGCTGGCAGGGTTCCATGCAGCCTCAGCCGCAGGCTAACCTCACACACCCTTTGGTGGCGGGTCAGTTCCCAGCGAAGCCTGTTCCTGCCTGTCACGAACCAGTTCTCTTTCTCAATACTGGAATTTATGGGCAAAGTAATACGTAGCCTAGGACATGCTTTTCGATAAGTCCTGGGCTGGGCTTGTACCTCAGAGGCAGAGTGCTTATACAGTGTGAACAGGGCCCCAGGTTTGGTCCCTCTGACACACTGGGCACACTCAAAAACAACCCAGCTTGCATTCCAGGGAGTGAACTCGGGCATGGCAAAGGCTTCTACCCAATGAGGCATCTCACCAGCCGCACCCTCTCCCCCTGCCCCCAGGAGTTTATTTGGCTCATGGATGTGGCCCAGTATTCAGGGGCTCATCCGATAATGTCCATCTTGCTGGCTCAAGGTATCACATATTGGGAGACAAGGTGTGCATGTGTGTGAAGTGTGTGTGCATGCACGCACACGTGCTATGGTCCTAGTCTCTCTTCTCAAAACGTGACCAGGATCCAATAATGATGGCTCCCTCCTTTTGGTTGGTTTGTTTGTTTGTTTGTTTTTGAGACAAGGTCTCTCTGTGTAGCCTTGGAACTCACTCTGTAGACCAGGCTGGCCTCTAACTCAGAGATCCGCCTGCCTCTGCCTCCCCAGTGTTGGGATTGAAGGCCTGTGCCAGCACTGGCCTGCTCCTGCCTTATTTAAACAAGTCATCGACACCCAGAGGCCTTCCTCTGAATACTCTAATCAGATTTTGCTTCCTGTATCAAAATACCTCACAGCGGGATTAAATTTAAGCTGGAGTTTGGGAGAGAGCCAGCCACGTAGGGACTCCTGGCAAGACATAAGACAGGACATAAGGAAGAGGACTGCTCATGCGTATGGACGATCAGTGGGGAATTCAGCATACAGTCTACTGTATATTGGACAGCAGACTGTAAATAAAGTTGGCCCTTGGAACATAGAGTGCCCGCCTAGTACACACAAAGCCATCAGTTCAGTTTTCTGCCCTCAGGAGACAGAGGCAGGCAGATCTCTGTGAGTTCAAGGCCAACCTGGTCTATGTAGTAGTTCCCAGACAGAACCAGGAGCTACATAGAGTCCTTGTCTTAGAGAGTGCTGGGTGGGGGGGTGAGGAGTAGGAGTAGAGATTGAGAGATTAAAATAATTACTAGTCCAGCCTTCAGGTTTAGTGTTTATTTGTAGAACCCGGAACTATGTTGACAATGGCCCACCCAGTATCAGTAGTCACCATGGACGTTGCCTCAGATTTTCCCTGGCTGGACAAGCATCTGCCACCCAAGAGTTTGGCTTTCCCATCCTGCGGGTCACGAGAGGTGCCCTGTAGTCCCAAGCTTCCTCACAGTCTGGCTGTGCAGAAGGTAAGAGCTCTTCACAGGGGACCTGTGCCCACATCAGTGGCTCACAGCTGCTTGCAACTCCAGTTGCAGGAAATCCCACACCCTCTTCTCTTCAGGTACCTCCATGAATGTGGGGCACATAAATACATGCCTGGCACACAAATACACATCAAAACAAACCAAAAAATCAAAAAACTTTTTTAAAGATTTATTATGTATACAGTGTTCTGCCTGCATGTACACGTGGACGCCAGAAGAGGGCAGCAGATCTCACTATAGATGGTTGTGAGCCACCGTGCGGTTGCTGGGAACCGAACTCAGGATCTCTGGAAGATCAGACAGTGCTCTTAACCTCTGAGCCATCTCTCCAGCCCTCAGGAAACTTTTTTTTTTCTTTAATGAGAAATAATCTAGGAACCAAGAAATAATCTTGGTTGAGAAATAATCTAGGAACCAAGTAAATTTTTTGTCAACTTGACAAATTAAGTAGAACCTTGGCTGAATTCCTGAGTCCGATTGGCCTGTGGACGAGTCTGAAGGGTATTTTCTTGATTAATGATTGATGTGGGAGGGCTCAGCACACTCTGGGTGATGCCACCCCTGGACTGGTGGTCCTGGGCTGTGTAGGAAAGCAGGCTGAGCGAGCCAGCCATTGAGCAGCATTCTTCTACGTGTCCCGCTTCAGTCCCCGCCTTGAGCTCCCGCCCTGGCTTCCCTCGGTGAGGATGGGCTGCAACCTGTATGTCAAACATACCCCAGCCGTTATGGTCAGCGTTTTCTCGAAGCAACAGATAACTTCCTGGGACAGGCAAGCGTTGGAACCTTGGCCTGGAAAAGCCGCCCTGGTGAGCTGTCCTGTGGGAACCCGGATGCTGATGCTGAGAGGAAGGCCTGGGCTGTGCGGTTTTGAAGGGATTACACGTGTGCGCCATCTCGGCCAGTTTACAGCTTTACGTGAAAAGTCCCTGCTCCAGTCCCAGTCTCCCGTCTCAGGATCCCGGGCTCTGCTTCCTGTGAGTGTCCCAGGCGCTTCCTTCTGAAAGCCTCAGGTGGTGGGTACCCTTCCTGAGGGCTTGAGTCTTACCTGGAGTTACCTCCTGCAGCGCAGACCCCTAGGTTTGCTGTTTACAGAGAAAAACAGAAGTTGGGGAGATGTAAGTTATGTTTGAGTTTACGTAAGCCTGAGTTCCGCATGTCGTTGTCCCAGTGCCAGCTGATACTGCCTGTTTACCTAGCTGGCTGTACGGCCCTGGCAATGCTAGACACCAGCTGTGTGACCTTGAGAAAATGACCACCTTTTCCTCTTAAAACCAAGTACTAAACCCACCCCCGACCCCAACAAGGTTGAATACCTTGCATAATATTTGGATTTGTTTGTTTTTTGTTTTGTTTTGTTTTGTTTTGTTTTTAGACAGGGTTTCACTGTGTAACCCTGGTTATCTTAGAACTCACTCTGTAGACTGGGCTGGCCTTGAACTCAAAGATCTGCCTGCCTCTGTCTCCCAAATGCTAGGATTAAACGAATGTGCCACCACTGCCCAGCTGGATTTCTTTATTTTTAAAAATTACATTTACTAGCTGGGTGCGGTAGAGCACACCTTTATTCCCAGCACTCAGGGAGGCAGAGGCAGGCGCATCTCTGTGAGTTTGAGGCATAGTCTACACAGCAAGTCCAGGAAAGCCAAGGCTACACAGAGAAACCCTGTCTTGAAAAACAAAACAAAACGAAAACTTGCATTTACTTACTTATATGTAGCATGTGTATGTGTGTGGACATACACATTCCTGGTACATGTGGAGAGCTCAAAGAACAACTTGTGAGCATTGTGTCTTTCTACCATGTGGGTCCTGGGATTGAAATCGGGTCATTCTGATGGCCCAGGATTTTTTAGTTAAATGCTGCACTGAAGGACCCAGCCACTCCATTCTCACGCACACACAACAGGCATCAGGAACTGGGTCTGTAGTGTAAGAACTCTCATAGTGGTGTTATTTGGGTTGTTATCCCAAAGCTGATAACAACCTCAGATGTCTGTCTGCTGTAAGGTAAGTCATAGTGTGTCCTAACCACAGGATCCTAATTAACAGTAATATAGGTACACCTCACAAGCATGGATAAAAGAACAAATGCTTTGGGATTCCACAGACAACTAAGTCTAAAACCAGGCCAAACTAAAGGGGCTGGAGAGCTGGCTTGGTGTTGGTCCAGAGGACCAGAGCCTGGCTCCCAAACACACTGGACTGCTCATGACTGCCTGTAACTCCAGCCCCAGGAAACCTTTCTGGCCTCTGAGGGCGTTACCCACTGTGTGACATCCACGCACACGGACAAACATTAAACAAAAACACACACCGCAAACACCAAACATGGGCTTAGGAGTACATAAGTGGCCAAGCCATTGAAGAAGCACTCAGGAGGCAGAGGCCAGCCTGGTCTACAGAGAGAGAGTTCCAGGGCAGCCAGGGCATCTTGTCTCACCAAAAAATAAAAATAAAAATACAGCAAAGAAGTCAAATGAGGTAATACACGCCTTTAATTCAGCACTTTGGGGGCAGAAACGGTGGATCTCTGTGAGCTGAAGGCCAGCCCAGGCTACATAGTCTCAAAAAAAATAAAATAAAATAAAATAAATAGGAGGCACCTGGGACTACAGGAGTGCACCACCGTGCCCAGCTTCATTTTGAGTTTTAATCACGGGTCCTCATTAGGGATGCTCAAAGTGACATGAAGACATAACTGGCCTATCGTCTTGGAATGCGTCAAAGACAAGGAGAGACTGAGCCCCGCTGTCTCAGGCTGAAAGAGATGGAGTGTGGTGAATGTGTCTATGGTCCAGACGGAAGGGGCTCCTAAAATCATGGGGACAGAGCCTTTCATTTCTGAGTCAGGATCCCAGTATGTAGACTTGGCTGGCCTAGAACTTGTTATGTAGGTCAGGCTGGCCTCCCGCTCACGGGGCTCTTCCTGCCTCTGCCTCATGAGTACTAGGATTAAAGTCATGCATCACCATGACCAGCAGCGGAAATTGCTTGAGAGCTTGTTTGGACTTGTAGCAGGAGTACAGCTACCAGCATAGCCCTGAGGAATATGGAAACGTTCTCTATTAGGGAAGGTTGCTTTTGACCAAGTATGCAGATTTGGGAGGGGACCTACTTGAGATGCTGAAGGGAGAAAGTGATTTCTGTCTAGGCAGCCAGATCAGCCTTATATCTGGGGACAGAAGCTCATGTACTCAAGACCCTCTAGTCTTTTTGAGATTTTAGACTGGGTCTCCCGTAACTCACGCTGTCCTCAAACTCACTCTACAGCTGAGGAGAACCTTGAACTCATGATCTGTTTGCCTCCACCTCCCGTGTTCTGGTATGACGGGGTACATCACCACACACAGCTGAGACAGAGGCTCTTTTGTGCTTCAGAAGGTTCCCGTGGGGTGGAGACCCAGTTGCCACAGTGCGGGGACAGCTCTGTGGTTCACCTTTGTACTAACTTTTCTTCACGCTTGCTCCCCAGGGCCACTCCGAGTGTGGGTAATAACAGAAGCCAGTATGTGGGGCTTTGCTTTCAGATCTAATCCAGGGCAAGGCAGGAGGGCAGAGGGCTCTAGAATGCATCCTTGGGGGGTGGGATTGCCGCTGTGGAGGGAGGGCAGCAAGGACTCAGAGCCAGGGACCAGGTGGGCAGTGAGGACACTTGCTGTTTTTTGCTTCCCAGGCTCCCCATGTGGGGCTTACTCCATGGTTTCATTACTGGGAAGACTTGAAGCAGGAGGATTATTCAGACGCTAGACTTGCTTGACATCAATTACCTGCATTAGAAAACCTTCTTGGGCTGGAGAGATGGCTCAGAGGTTAAGAGCACTGGCTGCTCTTCCAAAGGCCCTGAGCTCAATTCCCAGCAACCACATGGTGGCTCACAGCCATCTATAGGGAGATCTGGTGCCCTCTTCTGGCATGCAGGTGTACATGCAGGCAGAACATTGTATACATAATAAATAAATAAATCTTAAAAAAGAAAAAAAGAAAAAAAAAGAAAACCTTCTCAAGGGGAAAATGAAAGGCTGTTGACCATGGGCAAGCTGGGAAAGCCAGAGCACCCCTCAGCCTGGTTTTCAGATATCCCTACTTCTCTAGCTAAGGGGAGCTTGTGCTAAGAACCCAAGGACCTCATCGAAGCGTGCTGCAGACAGTAGAGGGCAGAGAGGTATGCCCGGCTGGGAAGAAGGCGCTTGGCACGTGCATCTTTGAGACGTGGGCATCCTTGAGTCTTTTGATCCCTCTAGCTAGGCAAAGCTGATTTCCCACCCTTGCTGGGGACAGCCTCCTCCTCTCTGTACCTGTAGCACGCTGTAGGCAGGTGCGTGAGGCAGATAGTTTGGTGTGTTTGTGTTACAATGAAAATCAGTACCAACTTGTTTAAAAGATTTGTGTTCCTTTTAACTAGGCGTATGTGTGGTTCTATGTGATGGCCTACTTGACTGCAGACCCCTGGAGAATCCGGAGAGAGCATCAGGTCCCTGGAACAGGGGTGTAGGGGGATTCTAATCCAGCAACACGGCTACCCTGGCTGGAATACAGACTCGCCCTTAGCACCTACCTTTGGGTGAAATGCAGACACACCCGTAGTACACACATTGACACGCCTTTCCATGCTTGTCCCTGCTGTACCCCTCATGTATCTGGCATGGCTCGAGGAGATCCTCACTGCCTATTGTATCCCTGGGTATTTGCCCAGTCTGTTGGGCAGATTTCCTGCAGATCAATATGAAGATGTACTCCTATGAAATAACGCTGTTTGGATGAGTTGATGGTTCTCTAATTCCTGATAATGGCTTTGTAGAATTCCTGCTTTTAGTCAAGTAACTTTAAGCCCCGCCTGCAGAATAGCAAAGGGTGTATAAAGAGGCTGAGCCAGCCAGGCTCGGTGGCCCACACCTGTAATCCCTGCACTCAAGGAGGCAGAGAGAGGCAGATCTCTGTGAGTTCAAGGCCAGCCTGGTCTACAAAGTAAGTCCAGGACAGCCAAGGCTACACAGAGAAACCCTGTGAGACTGTGAGTCTTCATGTGTCATAAGCATATAAATTGCACTAAGAATAGGCTTTGGACACATTTATGAGCAAGATAAACATTCATTCTAGGTTAGGACCAAGGATGAGATCACAGGTCTTGGTGTGCATCATGATAAGTGAAAACTATTGCTCTGGACTTTTCAATGACCTCATGGAATGAAAAGATAGCTGAAGAATGTTTAGTTAAATATGATGTTTTTTGTTTTTGTTTTTGAGGTGAACAAAAGCTCGTGATTTTATTTTACTGTCTTCATAACAAAATTACATTAGAACTGGATCAGTTGGCCCTTTCTCCTCTTATTGCCTCTCAATTCAGAATGCTCGCATCTCTTATTAGCCAGCGTTCTCTTAGATCTGGGCTCCATGTGCTCACGTCTCAGCACAATCTTCTTTGTAGTTTTAGCCTTTTTGTGGAAACTAGTCTTAGTCCGCCCACCATAGCTGCTCCCCCTGGGCATACAAAGAATCCTCGAACTTCTTGTACTGTGTCACTTTGTGGGCTGGTGTTTACCACATTCCTTGCAGAATGTCCGGAGGGTCTTAGGAGTGTTCACCGTGTCCATGGGAGCAGTATCGGCTCAGAAAGAAAAGCTAAATGGACAAGCATGTAAACTCCTTAAACCCTGTTAACCTCTGACACAAAGAACTATTGCTTGGAACTTACAACAAACTTGTGGAATGAAGCGACAAAGAAGAAATGTTTAGTTGGACATGAGTAATCAATAATCCTGCAGTGTTTCCCTCTGCATAATGACTTCCTCTGTGTCTGTGATAACTGCTTTTATGGCTATGAGGTAAGTTTTCTTAGAGGGTATAAAAGTCTAAGGACAAGAATAAAAGTTGTTGCTGGTTGGAGCCTCTTGGAGCCTGCTCATCAGAGCTTTGCTCCATCCACCATCTATCAAATATGTGTTGGTCTGTCTGATTGTCTGTAAGTATGTGTGTATGTATGTATGCATGTATATATGTATATAAATATATATGTTTGTATGAGGTTGTTGAAGTTTGTCTTGCTCCATCCACCCAGTGTGTGACTGTATGTAAGTCTGCATGTCTGTATGTCTGTCTGTATCCATGCATGCATGTGTGTATGTGTATGTGTAAAGTTGGATCCCACTTTGCTTCATTCACCAAGTTTCTGTGTGTGTGTGTGTGTGTGTGTGTGTGTGTGTGAATGTGTGGGGTTTTTTTTTTTTTTTTTTCTCCTTTTTCTTTTCTTTCTCTCTCAGCAGCCTAAGCCAGAAGCTATCAGCTCTGGCAGTTAGACAGTTAAAGAAAGTTCAGAGTTTCTCCCCAGTTGTAAAGTACTGGTTCCTAAAGAGTTAATTGCCTGTTGCTACAAGCAGAGGTCCCAAGCCAGCAGCTCTGGCTTCCTCCTTTTCCCTTTTCTCCCTTTAATCTCCTACCAGCAAAGGCTACTTCCCCATATTCTGAGAGCCATTAGCCTCTGGTCCTGTCAACTCTACCATTACTTGCCTCAGTTTACCCTGGTGTCAAAGCTGGACTTTCACATATTTTATTATTTATTTCTAGATGAGAGTGGGCATTTTCAGGGTGGTATGGCCATAGATTTTTTTTATTTTTAATTATGTGTTTAGGTGTATATCTGTGCACCCGAATGAAATACCTACAATTGCCAGAAGAGGAAGATGGACTCTTGGGAAACATTGGCACCTGTGAGTTGAGGGATGTGGATACTGGGAATTAAACTCCCCTCATCCTTGGGAAGATCAGTACGTGCGCATAACTGCTGAGACACTTCCTTAGCCCCAAGGTAATTCCTTTTAAAATTGTGTTGGAAAGGGAGAAAGGTGGAAGCGCACAAAACCAAAGTATTTTACAACTATTTTCAAGCCTTTGATGACAAGATTAGATGCCCAAATTAGCCTAAAGAACGTGTTCAGCCGATGTGAAAAACACAAATTCACTTCAGGGGACCAGGCTTTGTGCTGTAAGACAGGGTCTTTTTCTGTAGACCCAGCTCGCCTCAAACCTGGTATCCTCCTGCCCTGGCCCCTAGGGTGAAACTATGAAGTGCCAGGTGAATTTCCTGTTTCTTCGAACACATCAGCTTCCTGGAAAGTCCTTTAAGCTGGGATGCAGTATCTTCACACCCTAGTGGGTGAGTTCAGAATAGATGTAATCAGCTTTTCTAGCCTCACAGCCTTCTGAAACTGAAAAGGGAAAATAACTCAGTAACCATCAAGCCAGCAGTTAGGGAAACCATCCTCCGACTTGTATGCATGTACCATGGTGTATGCTGGTCCATGCACATAAATAAATAGAACAGATTTTTTTTCTTAATGTAAAAGGTCCCAGGCTGGAGAGAAGGCTCAGTGGTTAAGAGCACTGGCTGCTCTTCCAGAGGACTCCGGTTCCATTCCCAGCACCCACAAGGCAGCTCACAACTGCCTGTAGCTCCAGTTCCAGAGGATCTGACATCCTTGCACCAATACACATAAAATTAAATAAAAATAAAAATTAATTAAAAAATTTAAAGCCCCATGTCTAGGTGGGCAACCTGAAAGATGCAAGTATTAACGGGTCTTTTCCTGGCCTGAATTAAGCAATTTATTTGTGTATATGTGTGTGTGTGTGTGCGCACACACACACACACACACACACACACACACACACACGCATGCATAGTGTGTATATGTGTATATAGGTCCATGAAGCCATAGGGGGCCATCATATGTCCTGCCCTATCTCTCCGTGTCTTATTCTCTTGAGATGGGCTCTTTCACTAAACCTTAAGCTAGGCTGCATGCCAGTGAGTCCCAGAAATCTCTTCATCTCAGAATTGGGGTCACAGGCCCAAGCACAGCCATGCCCAGCTTTTTGCACAAGAGCTGAGGGTCCAAACTCATGCACGTGAGGCAGGCAAGTGCTCTTAGCCCCAGAGACATCTCCCCAGCATCGATTTCTTGAAAATGTTTTAGTAGTGACCCTGCATCCGGGTTTTGAGAGTTTTTTGTTTTTTATTTTTGGTGGTGTTATTGTTTGTTTGTTTGTTTGTTTGTTTATGTTTTTCAAGACAGGGTTTCTCTGTGTAGTCTTGGCTGTCCTAGAACTCACTCTGTAGATCAGGCTGTCTTCAAACTCATAGAGATCCCCCTGCCTCTGACTCACAGAGTGCTGGTATTAAAGGTGTTTCCAGCTTTATCTACCAGGGCTACACAGAGGAACCCTGTCTTGAAAAACCCAAAAGATTTTTATTTTAATCACTGTGCATGTGCGTGTGAGCCCAGGCGCCCATGGAGGCCAGAGACACTGGATTCCTCTGGTCCAGAAGTTACAGCCACCTGCTATGGGTGCTGGGAAGTGAACTCAGGCCGTCTGGAGGCACAGTATATGCTCCTAATTGCCAAGGCACTTCTCCAGCCTGTCTTGGAAGTAAGTAGAGGACAGTCTCTACCCTGCTTTCCCTGCTTCCACCTCTACATCCGTGGGTGCTGTGATTTGTTACTGCTGCCTTACTGGGGTCCCCACACCCCACCCTTAGAGACAAAGCCCCTGCTCACAGTGATGTCGCAAGGACTCACTCTTCTCACATTCCAACAGCACCTCTCGTCCCCAGCACGACTCACCTTGTTCTCGGGATGCCACCTCCCTGAAGACAGGCGTGGCATAGTGCAGCTCCTGAGGTTGCTCTGCGTCTGGGCAAAGACAAAGCATAAGTGTCACCAGGCCAGGGCTTGGATCCTCTGGCCATATGAGGGTGGTGGCCCGGGGCCTAGAGTGAGCGCTTTCCCTTCGGGGTTGCGGAAACATGTTGCTGTCACTCCAAGTCTGGCCCAGGCCCCTGCCTGGCAAGGTGGGGCTGGCAGAAATCGGGAGCTGCTCTATCAGGGCTTGCACAGTGCTCAGAATGTGGCCAGGGCTCTGATGAGCCGACTAGATCGAATCCCTTAGTTAGCTAGGCCCTTCCCCCATGAAGTATCCAACATGCAATGTCAGCTTTGATAAGTGGATAAATATTGCATGGTCTGGTGACTCTAGCTAGTCATTAAATACTACAGTCTTGACAAGTCCTGAGGGAGCAGTTTCATGTACTTTCACTTACTCCAGCGCTTGGCTGGCATGTGTGGAGCCCTGGACTTGATCCCAAGCATCGCAGAAAACAAACAACGAGATGTGCTTGCTTCTGCAGCATGGAGGCTGAAACAGAAAGATACAGAGGAAGAGCCAGGAACAGGGAGACTGGGGGAGGCTGAGGCAGGCGGAGCTCTGTGACTTTGAGGCCAGCCTGGTCTGTGAAGAGAGTCCAGGACAGCCAAGGCTACACAGAGAAACCCTGCCTCGACAAACAAAACAAAACAAAAAGATACAGAGGAGATCACCATGGCCTACCTCATGTAAGGATGATACACAAATTAAGTCATGTTTGTAATCCTAGGACATGGAAGGAAAAAGCAGGAGGTTTGTTAGGAGTTTGAGGCCAGCCTGGGCTCCACAGTGAGTTCAAGGCCAGCCGAGGTTAGATGCTAATAAAAACAAGTGAAAGATGTGAACAAACAAAAACAAAGACTCTGTTCCCACATAACTCTCTGTTGCACATGGTAAATGTGTATAGTTCTGTTTGGTGTTTTGTTTTGCGACAGGATTTCTGTGGGGTTTTGTTGTTTGGTTGGTTGGTTGGTTTTGGTTTTTTGAGACAGGTTTCTCTGTGCATCCTTGGCTGTCCTGGACTCTCTTTGTATATCAGGCTGGCCTTGAACTCACACAGATCCTCCTGCCTCTGCCTCCCTGAGTGCTGGGATTACAGGCATGCACCACCGCACCGGGCTTCAAAAACCCTTTTAGGAAGACGATCATGAAAGACTTTGAGATACAGCATGGATCATCCCACACTAATATAAAGTCATCTCTAAGATGTGTTAAATGAAAATAAATAAATAAATAAATAAATAAATAAATAAATAAATAAATAAATAAAAGGCTATAATGGCCCACTAGTGACATGCTACATCCGGTCCCGTGAGCTCTGAACGCCAGCCCTAGGCCCTGGAGAGTGAGATGGGAGAGGAGAACCAGATGGGGTTCTCTGTTACCTTGCTTCCTATTTTGTTTTTAAGCTCCTGTCTTTGGAGAATCTTTTTTTTTTTTTTTTACAACGCTGTGTAGAGCACTTATCTAGCATGTGTGACACCTTGGGTTCAAGTCCCAGCACCACGCCATGCCATATATACACATGTATACAGCCACCGCCAAACCAAACTGGTCAAACCAGCCAGCAAAGCCCTTTACCTGTTTGAGTTTCACTGATGTTTGCATACAGCGCACCTTGCTCTTCTCCAGAGCCCTTGGACATATTCCCTCTCAGAGCTTTTCCTGCCCCAACAACAACAAAGTCACAGAATCATCACACTGAACCAATTTAGACATGTTTTTCCTGTCTTCTCTGCCGAGGGACAGAATCTCCCATGATTCTAACTGACCTGCCTCAGTGGCTTCCACTAGTGAGGGGAAAAAAGTCATAGATTTGTATACAACACCCGCTCCCCTGATCCAGGGGCCTCCTGACCAGGCTCTGTGAGGTCTTAGCCTACATATTGTATTGGAAATTGATGTTTTCTTTCCTCCCTGAAAGAAACAGTTAGTAGGAAAGCTTTGAGTTTTCTTCAAGAGATGAGTGAGACAACTGAGTTCTGTGTCAGCAGAAATCAAAAATCTCTTTTGTTTTTTCAAGACAGGGTTTCTTCCTTGTAGCCCTGGCTGTCCTGGAACTTGCTCCGTAGACCAGGCTGGCCTCGAACTCACAGAGCTCTGCCTGCCGTTGCCTCCTGAGTGCTGGGATTAGCAGCATGTGCCACCTCTACCTGACTGAAATTAAAAACAAAACAAAACAAAACAAAAAACAAAAAAAACCTTAATGCCACCCTGACAAAAACTCAGGGTGGTTTTGTTGTTTGTAGAAAAGGGACACGTGTTTTTGAGATGTTTGACAAGCTGGGGTTTTAGGGCATAGGTTTGTCCTAGCATCTGTGCTGGGCCTTGTGCAAGCTAGGAGGGCTGCGCTGCATCCCCAGCTGCTTTTCAACATTTTTATCAACCGGCGCCTGCCCTGTGACCTGTGTCCGTGCAGAAATGGAGGCAGCACAGACGTCTGACATCTGTGAGCGAGCCTCAGTGATTCCCGACACTATCTCCATACCCCTATCCCACAGGCCGGAGGGTTGAGGCCCAGAGAAGCAAAGCCTCCAGGTACCCAACAGCCCTAGGCTTGGCGCCTTGTGTGCTGAGGTACAAATGCTATTTTGTGCAAATCTAGATATTTCTCCTCACATGTGTGCCCAGGGAAAGGGCAACTTTGGTATCTTTCCCAGAGAGGGCTTAGAGGAGACTAGGGAAAGCCTTCTCCCTGGATACGGAGGGTTTGTTGTCTCTGTGGTCCATCAAGTGGGAAGGCAGAGACACATTTCCATCCAACTTCACACACCAAGCCTCCAGCAGGCGGCTGAGAAACGGAAGGCTCCACCCCTCGAGGGGCTTCAGCTTTGGACCAACTGTATGATGTACAGTGAGCTTCAGGAGCCTCTTGTTATAAATACAGCTATGGACACAGCAGCGCTGTTGGCAATAGCCAGAAGATGGAAGCAACTCGAGCATGACCATCACCAGGGGTGGGGAAATGATGTGAGGTGTGCATACAGATCAGAGGGTTCCCCAGCCGAAAACAGAAAGACATTCTGATATGCAAAAGAAACCTAACACCACAGGACAGCCCCTGGGGATGGGGCACAGTTGGCTGAGTTCTTGCCTAGTGAGCAGAGAGGCCTGAGTTCATCCTGCACTCCTGTGAGCCAACCAGAAAGGAGGGCCAGAAGTTCAAGGTTATCCTCAACTACCTGGTGAGTAGGAAGCTCTAGCCTCAGATACAGGAGAACCAGTCACAAAATAGAGCAAGGCAGACAGCTTACTGCTGCATGATTGCACTCAGATGAAATCCTGGAACAGTTATGTCTGTGGAGACAGAAAGCAGAACAGTAGCTACGGAGCAGGAGGAACAGAATGAGGAATTGTCTCGTGGGTTCCACGGCTTTCGTGTCTCACGGCATTGGGTTTCAGCCTGCGAAGCTGGCAGAGGTGTGGCTGGGGGTTTCTGATGGTCTCCCAACAGAGGTCGGGACTGAATGTCACCGACACACACGTATGAACTGGTTGGACTGGGAGCGGACGGTGTGACCATGTAAGCTCTTGTTCAGCACATGACAGGGCCTCAGTCAGTAAAAGAATAAAAAAAAAAAAAAAAGAGGGGGAGTAAAATAGCGAGTTTCACTGTGTGTATATTTCAGCATAAATTGATGGAGGAAGCATGGGGATGCAGCTCAGTTGGGAGAGTCTTGCCTAGCACGCAGGAAGCCCTAGGTTTCACCCCTGCTGACACGCAAATTGGATGTAGGAACATGCGCTTGCAATCCCAGCACTGGGGATGTGAAGGCAGGAGGATCAGGAGTCCAGGTCATTCTCAACAGCAAGGTGAGACTAAGGCCATCCTGGGCTACAAGAGACCCAGTTTCAAACAAAACAAAAAACAAAAACTGTATAAACTGGGAGTGGTGGTGCACACCTGTAAGCTCAGCCCTCTCAAGCTGAGACAGGAGCATCACTGTGAGTTCAAAGCCAGCCAGGTACACATAGCGAAATCCGAACACAAAAGAAGAGCGCAGAAATGATTACTAATTTTCAGATGGAAACTGCAGAATTCTAAGGCAATCGTAGGGACTAGGGGGGCATAGAGCTGCGTGTACAGGTTCTGTCTGCCTGAGGCTGGCTCTCCAGGTAACCTGCGCAAGAAGGGTTTCACTGAGGATCCAAAGAGGGCCTCGTGAAGTCTGTCTGCTCACTCCTAATTTCTCATATCGCTCTCTCTCTCTCTCTCTCTCTCTCTCTCTCTCTGTCTCTCTCTAGTTTTTTGAGACAAGGTTTCTCTAGGTAGCCCTGGCTGTCCTAGAACTTGCCCTGTAGACCAGGCTGGCCTCCAACTCAGAGATCCACCAGCCTCCACCCCTGAGTGCCGCCGCCACCAGGCTTCCCTCCCCACTCTGTTCTGGCTGAGTGTGAACATCACAGGAACACACCAGGGAGAACTTACTTTTTCTGCATTTTGATTGAATCAAAAAACCCAGGACTAGGATTATTAGCAGCAGCCCCAGGAACAGCCCCAGGAGCAGCGGCGGCGGCAGACAGGAAGGACAGCTCTCTTCTTCTGGAAGAAAATTCATAGGTCACCACTGGCTCCCTCCTCCCATGACACTGCAAGTGCTCCAGGGAGGACCGTCCTGGCTGCCTCCTGAGTTCACCAACACACTGTGTGATCCCAGTAATCCAGGCACGGGTGTTTAACAGGCAGCTCTTACTCATCACCTCCCATATAGTCCTAGTGGGTACTCAAAGGATAGCCAACCATACCAAGCGCAGCCCCACCCCTTACTCCAGCTCTTGGCCCCAGGGCAAATGACCTAAAAAGCCACATGCACAGTTGGGGCCCAGGTAAATAGCTAATCTGACTAACCCATGTAGTGTGGCACCAGCCAGGGGCTGAGAAATTGGGGGGGAGGGGGATGGCGGTGGACAGGCTGTTTCTTTGCTTCAGGGAACTGACTTGCAGACTTCATGGCCTATTTATTATTTCTCTCCTTGAACTTGCTAGGCAGCTGAGCCTAGCCTTAAACTCCCGGTCCTCCTGCTTCCAATTCCCAAACGCTGGGGTTACAGGTGTGTGTAGCACACTTGGCAGTTGGCCTGTTTGTTTTTATTTTACTTTATTTTTGGTTTTTTGAGACAGGGTCTCTCTCTATATGTAGCCCTGGCTGTCCTGGAACTCACTCTATCAAGCTGGCCTCAAACTCAGAGATCTGTCTGCCTCTGGCTCCAGAGTGGTGGGATTGAAGGCATGTGCCACCACACTTGGCTTCAGTTTGTTTATTCTTAAGGATGAATACAGTCAAAAAATTATTTAGTCTGTATACATTCACCCACTCACACGCATGCAGAAAACATATAGATGGTGTAGAAGCCAGACTTCTTATGGGAGCCGCTTCTTTCCACCATGTGGATACCAGGATCAAGTCATCAGACTTGGTGGCAAGCCCCTCCACCCACTGAGCCATGATTCTGCCAAGGAACCAGTGTTGAGCATGCAGTGGAGAGCTGGCTTATTCTCAACCCCAAAGTGCCATAACTCTCTAACTGGGTTTTCATTTATAGAACTCAGTTGCACAAGAGTTCTCACTTCCTCTAAAAAGCAGAAGTGGCCTTGCTAAATCGATTCAAGGGAAACTTAAAACCGGAAATGCAGGGCCCTGGTCTGCTGTCAAATCCTACTCTTGTTTTGTTTCTATAGATTTTATTTAGTTTTATTTACTTGTCTTCTTTTTTTTGAGACAGGGTCTCTCTATGTAGTGTTAGCTGTCCTGAAACTCCATATGTGGACCAGGCTGGCCTTGAACCCGCAGAGATCCACCTGCCTCTGCCTCCCAAGTGCTGGCTAGATTTATTTTATGTGTTTGACATTTTGCCTGCATATATGTGTGCACCACCTGTGTGCAGTGGCCACGGAGGCCAGAAGAAGGCTTTGGATTCCCTGGAACTGGAGTGAAAGATGGCTGTGATTCACTGTGTGGGTGCTGGGAAATGAACCTGGGCCCTCTGGAAGATCATTAAATGTTCTTAACCCCTGAGCCACCTCTCCAGCTTCCCCACTCTATTTTTGGGAAGAATCCAGCGCTATGATGTGTTATGCTGCTTGTGTGTGATGGTTGTGCTGGTTAATAGCGGTGTGCTTCTATTACGTCAGTGAAATGTGAGCAACCATCTCCCGCTCCTGCTGCTGTGCCATCCCTGTCAGGATGGGCGTGTCACCGTAATGAGATGTGGCTGGGCAGGAAGGGGGCTAGCTCCCGAAGCTTCAGGCTTCAGGGGATGAAGACCAGTAGGTGGGCTAATCTTGGTTAGACTAGGGAGGGACTAGGAGATCCGTGGAGCACTTTCATAGGCATTAGCTAAGCAGGGAGGACCCTCTCTGAGGTGGGATCACCCTCTTTTAAATTGAGGGCCCAGATGGACGAGTAGAGAAAGGAGAAAGCCTTCAGCAAGCGCTCTAAACTGATGAGCCACGTTCCTTCCAGGCTCTTGTTTTCAACCACCAAGAGCCCCTCCCACCACAGGAGAGAATCCCATCAGCCGTTGGCCCTCCATCATATAGAGAGATGTACTTACTGGCGGCGATGGTGAAGTTGAATTCTTGACTGTATTTCCACACGCTGGAAACATTGGCTTTGCATTTGTAGGGGCCTGTTTCGCTGGCGCTGGAGATCTTCGGGTGAAAAGTCACGTCCTTCCCTCGTCTTTTCTTGCTATCGAGGTGTCTCTTACCCAAAAATAGCAAATAAGTGATGTCTCCTGACGTATTCTTGCAGAAGCAAGTCAGAGGTACCTTTTGGCCTATTCTGACCACGGTCATATTTGAGTATAAGTTTGGACAAGGTAATTCTGCAAAAACAAAATGACATAGCTGTCTTCATTAGAACCATTCCTGGCCGTTTGGGTGGCAGAGTGCTTGCCTGGCACAAAATCCTGAGCACAACATAAATTAGGCATGATGCCTGCAATTCCAGCTCTTGGAAGATGAAGGCAAGAAGCCAGGAGTTCAAGGCTATCCTTAGCTGTGCAGGGGGTCCAAAGCCAGGCTGGACTGCGTGAGCCCCAGTGTGATAGCTAAGTTGGCAGTGTGATAGGCAAGTTGGCAGGATCTACAATCATCTAGGGGGTTGATTCCAGGTTTGTCTGTGAGGAAGTTCCTAGATTGAGTTAACTAGGGGAAGAAGGTCCTCCCGGATTGTGGGTGGTCCGTCAAAAGCCGGGGTTCCCAGACTGAAAGAAAAGAAGCCAGAGAAACAATGCACCAAGCGTCTACTGTCTACCGTCATCTCTTCCCAGCTTCCCGGCTGTGGGAGCCTTGCAGCCACTGCCAAAGATGGCTGCCGTCATGACTTCCCAGCCACCATGGGCCCTGGAACTGTGAGTCAGGTTGACCCTTCCCCATTCAGTTGCTTCTTATTAGATATTTGCTCACAGTTGTGAGAAGAGTAATGAACACACCCTTTTTCAAGACAGAACCAAACACCTTAGGGAACCTTCGTTCCCCCAGCAACGCCCCCATCTCCCCTTTGTTCTTCAGGTGTGCCGAGGCCCCAGGGTGTGCACACCCACGCTCCCTATTGCACTCTTGTTTGCTTTTCCCCAGATAGAGACTCCCTTATCGCACATCTCTCTCTATGTGTTTGTTTGGCTTTGACAAGGGATTTAACTTGCTGTTTGTATTGCTTTTCAGGTAAGCATCGCCACATTTTCTTATCATCAAATCCATTTCCTATAAGCCAGGGGCAGGCCTGCAGCTTTGAATCTTTCATTGAATCACCCAGCACAAATCCAGGTCCCACATTAAATTCTTTTAAGCTCTACTGTTGGGTGCTCCCCAGACTCCCCAGGACCCGTCTCTCTCCTGTCATGATCACAGCTGTAATTTCAGCACTTGAGGGAAGGAGGCAAATGCTTCGAGAATTCAAGGTACAGTCTCTTCTACATAGTGAGTGCTAGGCTGTGTGGCAAGATCTTATCACCAACAACCCACAAAAACAAAACAAAAAACCAACTAAACAACCCAATTACTGATCCTGGCTGCTTCTGGGAGTGGAGGGGAGACTGACTGGGGGTATACAACATCTTTCTTTCTTTTGCTTTTTCGAGATAGGGTAGCCTTGGCTGTCCTGGAACTCACTCTGTAGACCAGGTTGGCCTCAAACTCACAGAGATCCACCTGCTTCTGCCTCCCAAGCGCTGGGATCAAAGGCCCGCACCACCATCACCTAGCTGACAACAGCACTTTCAATATTACGTGGTTGGCGTACACTGAAGGAGATATATATACCAGAGACCGTGCGGAGGAACAAGGATTGTGGCATTCCCGAGCACAGAGGAAAGAAATCACACTCAACCGTGATCAGTTGATGTGCCCAGGCTGCCAGCTGCTGGGCAACATGCCAGGCTCAGCAGCAAAGTGCTCTGACTCCTGGTAGAGTCCCTCCTATGCCTGAATTAATTCAGAATGTGTCCCAGTGGCCATGGTGGGCTGTAAACCAGCATTTGAGAATTCAGGAGTTCTAGTCTAGCTTTGGCCATATAATGAAGTTTGAGGCCGGCCTGAGCTACTCGAGGCTCAAAAGTAAAAAAATAAATAAAATTTACAAAGATTATGTAAGGGTTTTCTAGCCAAAAATGATAACAGAAGAAGTTTGAAGTTTTTCATAGTAAAAACAGTCTCAAGACTTTGCCACCAAGTTTCAGGTGGAAAAAAAAAATGCTACAACCAACTCTCTCTCTGCACTTGGCTTATTTCCTGACTAGAAAATAACTGAAAGGCTTTGCTCTTGGTTGCTAAAAACACAGAAACACCCATATATTAATGTTCATGTGCAAAGCCAGCTATCTGACCATTTGGAAGAACATGCTTTTAGGAAATGAAACTTACTGTTTCATCTGGGTCAGGTGACACATGCCTTTTATCCCAGCACTCAGGAGACAGAAGCAGTCGGATCTCTGTGACTTTGAGGCCAGCCTGGTCTACAAAGCAAGTTCCAGGACAGCCAGGGCTCTATTACACAGACAAACCCTATAAAAAAAAAAAAAAAAAAAAAAAAAAAAAAAAAAAAAAAAAAAAAAAAGAAAGAAAGAAAGAAAGAAAAAAAGAAAAAAAGAAAAAAAGAAAAAGAAAGAAACTTACCTTTTATTTTTTTCTTCTTATCATCCACTGCAGCATTTTGAACTGAAAGAGAAAAGGGAAGATTTTTTTTTTAAAGCTCATTTTCGTATGATGTTTTAAGAGCTGATTTTTGTTTCTTTGTCTTTGTTTTTTGAGACAGGGTCTCACTATGTAGCTCTGGCTGGCCTAGAACTCTCTCTATGTAGACCAGGCTGGCCTTGAACTCTCTCTATGTAGACCAGACTGGCCTCACACTCAGAGCTCCACCTGCTTTTGCATCCCAAGCACTGAGAATAAAGTTGTGAGCCGTTATTCCCAGCTGAGAGTCAGTTCTTAAGACATTGGATCAGGCTTACGTGTGGTAGAAAGAAAAAGAGCCCAGAGGAACAGTTTGTCCACCCGGCTCCTCATTTTCCCTTGAATGAGACAAGAGAGAGGCACAAGGCGGAGCCACGGTCACCCATCTAAGGGATGCTGCCTCAGAGCGAGGGGTGGCCTCTCAGATTCCTCTGCCCAAGCACATGCTGGGAGGAAGAGGATTTAGACAAGTTTATGAGACATGACTCGTAGTTGGTTCAACGCCCCTCGAGTTCCTGGAACGGACTCTGAGCAGCTGCTCTGACCGCAAGGCCTCCTTCCTCACTCTCTCTCTGTCTGTCTCTGCCCTCACACTGTGATGGCTAACGTTATGTTTTAAGCTGAGGTGGCAGTGATTAAGAGATCTTTAAAACAAAAATGAAAATTACCTCTAACGTGTAAGCCCCAATAGCCCAAGGAGAGATAACTTCCTGGAGTGCTGTTGGCCATGTTAAGATTACAAGCCCATGTTTTTGCTTCTTTAAACAAGCTTGGTTACCCCAATAGCACAGGCTATCACAGTCTGGGGGAACATAGGCAGGAAATATGTCTGCATGCCTCCTTGCCCCTGATTGGACAAAGGTGGCAAGTATGTAGCCTTGTGGATTTTTGCCTTTCTTGAGCCTCTGTAATTTGGTGACATACCCTGGGAATCCTGAGGACGGACCTGGCCAGTGGTCATTGTCCTGGCCAGCGGTCATTGTCCTGGCCAGCATTTCTGGCTTCAAGTTTGGCTCAAAATTTGTGATAATGGTCTTATTCTCACCCAGTAGAATTAACACCCATCCTGAGCTGCCTGGGAGGTGAGCCACGGGCCCCAAAACTATCTACGCATGTGGGTACCCACCAGGGTCGGAACCAAAGTTACAGGCCGCTGCGAGTCTCCTGATGTGGGCACTGGGACCTGAGCTCGGGTCCTCTGCAAGAGCAGCAGCCACTCCCACCCTGAGCCAGCCCCTCCAGCCCCAGCGTGGCTGTAGGTTAGTTCCGTCATTAAAGATGCTTCCTGGTATTCAAAGAAATTAGTATCAATTACAAATGGTAGTCCACCCTGTGGGTGCATGGGAATTGAACCCGGGTCCTCTGAAAGAGCAGCCAGTGCTCTTAATCACTGAGCCAGCTCTCCAGCCCCCACCCAGGGTTTTGATTATAGACTGAACATCCCATATCCCAAATGCTTGGAATCAGAAGTGTTCTGGATTTTAGAGGGTTTTTTTTGTTTTAATGTTTGCATATGTCTTTGCAGCTAGCAACTTGGGGATGGGACAAAATCTGAGTGTGAAACCCTGTTGTCTTTCATGTACATTTTATATACGTGTTGCCTGAAGGTCACAGGAGCCAGAGCAGCCCTTCGTTCACTGATCTCAGGCTGGAGTGCTCAGACCAGAACCTCAGCAACGTTGTTTCAGCTCCTCAGATCACCTCTGGGGGTGAGTCACCTCACAACGCTCTGCAAGACTCTCCCTGCCACCCTCCGTCTTCCCCAGCGTCTTGCCTTTACATTTGTCCTCTTCTAATCTCCGTGAAACACGGAGAAACCCGAGCGCCATTTTGATGGGTTTTTGTTGTTGTTGTTGTTTGTTTGTTTGTTTGTTTGTTTACAATCTTTCCACCATACCCAGAGGATCAGGAAAAGGCACAGTGACACTAGGGACTTGGTGGAGCATTCTGGGGCCCAGCTGGGGTTGTAGCCACACACCTCGCCCCTCCCTCCACATGCTACTTTAGCATCCTACTGGGGGGCATCTGGGTGTACCTGGGTTTTTGTTGTTTTTTTCCATCAATGTGACACAAATGAGAGTCGCTTGGGAGGAAGGAACCTCAACTGAGGAACTCTCTCTCTCTCTCCATCAAGTTGATGGGCAGGCTTTTCTGTATGGCATTTTCTTAATTAATAATTGATGATCAATAGAGGAGGGCTATGTGTGTGGTGCCACCCTGGGCAGGTGACCCCGGGTGGCATAAGAAAACAAGCTGACGGAGCCACTGAGAGCAAGCACCATTCCTCCCCGGTCTGTGCTTCACTCCTGGCCTCCAGGCTCCAGCCATGGCTGCCCTCCGTGATAAGTTGAGGGAATTTGGAGGGGTAAGATAAAGAGCCTCTTCCCTCCCCAGGTTGTCTCTGGTCAGGGTTTTATCACAGCCGAAGAAAATAAGAAGGGCAGGGGCTGTCTCTGACATGAACTCAGTGGCTGGCTCTTTGATCACCTCCCCCTGAGGGGGAAGCAGCTTTGTCAGGCCACAGAGTAGGACAATGCAGCCAGTCCTGATGAGACCTGATAAACTAGGGTGAGATGGAAGGGAAGGAGGACTTCCCCTATCAGTGGACTTGGAGAGGGGCATGGGAGGAGGTGAGGGAGGGAGGATGGGATGGGAAAGGAATGAGGGAGGGAGCTACAGCCGGGATACAAATCGAATAAACTGTAATTAATATAAAAAATTTAAAAAATAATAAAGAAAATAGGATGGGACAGATATACCGTAACTGTGGGCTGATGCGGAGGAGCATGGCTGTGTGTTCCAGGCAAGTGAAGGGCCACATAATGAATTCCAGATCCTGACTCTAAAAGGAAGAGGAGGCCAGGCCTGGAGGCTCGGACCGTTAACCCCAGCACTTAGGAGGCAGAGGCAGGCGGATCTCTTTGAGTTCAAGGACAACCCTGGCCACTTACCGATTTCCAGGACTGCACAGTGAGAGTCAGACAGTTTTTCTGCATTGTCATTTATTTTGTGTGTGAGTGTGTGTGGGGGCTGGGGTGCAAATGCCACTTTATGCATGTGGAGGTCAGAGGATAACTTGTAAGGTTCGGTTTGCCTTCCTACCATGTGGGTTCTGGGGATCCAGTACCAGGTCCTGGGTTTAGCAGTAAGCACTGCCCAGCTGAGCCACCTTGCTGGTCTTTTGATAACAAACCCCAAATGAGACGGGGTGGAATTTCTCCCCTGTTGTGTAAGTACCGAGGAAGCTATGGATTTGCAAGAATTTCGAATGCTGGATTTTTCCGATCAGGGATGCTCTGCCTGTGCTGTCTCTGTCTCTGTCACTGAGGCAAGAGAGCATGAGCTGGCTGCAGTGCTTGTAATCCCGGAGATCCGAAGGCAGAGTCAAGAGCAGCCTCAAGTATATACTGGGTTTGAGGCCAGCCAGGGTACATGAGACTGTCAAAAAGAAAAGGAAGGGAAGAAAGGAGGGAGGGACAAAGCGAGGGTACAGCTAGGCCATGTGGCCAAGGCCTATAATCTCAGCACTAGACAGGTGGGGCAGGAAGATGAAAGTTCAAGGCTGGTCTAGCTCCTGGCCAGCCTGGGTTACACACCAAGATCCCATCTCAGATACAGACAAACAATAGACAGTTCTCTAAATTAAAAAAGAAAGAAAGAAAAAGGCTAAGTGAAGAGCTCCGAGTTTGATTTTCATGGAATGATCCTCATCCTTGGAGTTGGAGGTTTGAAGACCTTGCTTTTTAAATCTTTTAACTTAAATTTTTTATTACTTTATGTGTATTGATGTTCTGCCTGCATGTGTCGTGTGTGTGTGTGTGTGTGTGTGTGTGTGTGTGTGTGTGTGTGTGTATGCCTGTTGGATGAAGACATTAGATCCCCTGGGACTGGAATTACAAATGGTTTTTAACCTACATTTGTGTGCTGGGGATAAAACTTCTGGAAGAGAATCCAGTGCTCTTAGCCCCTGAGCTGTCTCTTCAGCTCTGTTTTGTTGTTGTTTGTTTTGAGATAGGGTCTCACTATGCAGCTATGGCTGGCTTGGAACCTGCTATGTAGACAAGGCTGGTCTTGAACTCGCAGAGATCCACCTACCTGTGCTTTCTGAGTGCTAAAGGCATGAGCCATCATACCTGGTAGAATTTCAACTTTGACTCTTTCCCACAGACTGATTGCTGTCTTGTCTGGGCAAAGGAAGTGCTGGGGTAGGACTTCGTGGGGCAAGATGCCATTTCTGGGCACTTGTAAGTTTTGGAAGCCAGCAGGAACTTTACTGACTTAGGATGGCACACAGAAGCAGCAGATGACAGCAAGGAAAATACTGCCCACAGCTATTGACAAATGTTGCTGGGGAGGGGATGGGATGGAGACATGGCTCAGCGGCTAAGAGTGCTGTTTGCTCATCCAGAGGTCCTGAGTTCAATTCCCAGCAACCACATAGTGGCTCAGAACCATCTATCTCTACTGGGATCTGGTGCCCTCTTCTGGCATACAAGTGTACATGCAGATAGAGCACTCATCCACATCAAATAAATAAATATTAAAAAAACAAAAAACAAAAAAAACCCCAACAGTGCTAGGGTGCTTCATCCAGGCCCCACAAAAAGGCAGATGCTTGTCAAAGATGATGTGATAAATCCGAGGTGAAGTCTCACTTTGAAAAGGAGAAGTTCATCTTTGGACCTGACACAACCCATGCCAAGTTCAACACCACCACCAACAACAAAAACCCTGATCTAAGTGTGTCAAAAAACTTGGAAGTATTTAGGATAAGTCTAATGGGCTGTGTGTGTGTGCATACCTAAGGCCTCACAATACTAAACTTTAAAAAAATTTTATGTGTATGAGTGCTCTATCTGCATGTACATCTGCATGCCAGAAGAGGGCATCAGACCCCAGTATAGATGGTTGTAAGCCACCATGTGGTTGCTGGGAATTTAACTCAGGACCTCTGGAAGAGCAGCCAGTGCTCTTAATCTCTGGGCCATCTCTCCAGTCCAATCCTAGACACTATTATTTTGAGACATTGTCTTGCTTAATTACCATTGCAGAAGCTGGCCTTGAACTCACAATATATCCAAGGCAGGACATGAATTTTTTGGTCTTTCTGCATGGGTCTCCCAAACAGCCAGAAGCACAGATTTATGCCATCACACACTCTGCTAAACCACAGTTTATAGCCCTGAGAACTGTTAGGATTTGGGTAGTGCTGTGTGTCTAATTTTTCTAATCTTCCATTAGGTGGCGGCATTGTCAAATTTGTGTAATTTTAAAAGTTCGGGAACGGAACCATAGCACCCACCTTTGTCTTTTATTGTCCTGTTTTTATTTTTCCTTGTTTTTCTCTTGAGTCACTTTTGGGGGCTGGGGAAGGGATATGCTAAAA